CTGCACCCTAAATCCATGCTAACACCTCAAGAGTCCCCTCTTACCCCAGACCTGAAGGCCCCTTCAACAGGATTTCAAACAGCAGACTACGTTTCACAGAGAACACAGCCCACGCCCTCAACAGAGCAATATGTGTCTCCCTAGAACTAGGCAAGAATGTACCCACTTGTCAGTTAAGAAGAGTTTCCCCAAGAGGGGGTCACCAAAGTGTGACAGCCAAGACCTAAAGATGGGGTACCAAGTCTGACATCCTCATCCTACCCACCGCCATGACTAGTTTGTCTTCCAGGCTAGGCTATGAACCCATCAGTGTAAATACAAGTAATGCCCAAGGGTCCTAAGTCTTTTATTCCAGTTACTGACATCCTGGGGGAAGTGTTCTCAGAACATCTAGCTGGTGTCCTAAGAAAGGGAATAATGTCAGGAAATGGCTAAAGTCTGGGGCCTGCAGGAGAAGGCAGTGCTACAGGGTATTTGTAGTGTCAGAGACACATCCATGGACAGGCATGTTGTCACCCTACTCCACCCTCGAATGCAACCCTTACTGGGGGTTGTTTCTGCAGTCCCTCACCAACTTGTTGTTTTTGCAGTCCCTCACCAAATTGCAAGCACTTGCACATGCCGGGTGACCTCATCCCACTGTAGTTTGGGGGACAATCTGCCAAAATAAGCAAATGCAGGGAAATTACAGCTGTGGAGGGCAGCTGTGGGGGAAGCCAGGGCCCACAAATGGGCAGATATTTGTGAAAGGCATGTGGCCTACAGAGCAAGTGGCCTGAGGACCAACAAGGAGGAGGCTCAAGTTCAATGCCCATGCTGCGTTTTGGGAAGAAGGATTCCAAAATGGTAAAGTGATCAGCTGTACCCATGTCAAACGTGACTCACACAGGGGACAGCCACTGGTTCCTAATCTGCTTACCCGAGACTCCATATGGATCCTTAAATTTCCTTAACAAGATTTTCCTTTAATACATAAATATTTCTAATACTTGGAGAAAGCACACATTCTGCCTTTGACCAGGTAGGAAGGGGGAAGAGAGCCGGCTGGTGACACACCCCTTGCCATCCACTGATTGGCTGCCCCTTTATTTTTAGATCCTCACTGCAAAAGGGCATAAGCATGGTAAAGACAAAGCTGGAGCCATGAAGCACCTGGCTCCACCTCTGTACCTCTCTCCTCCAGAAAAGACCGTGACAGCCTCATAGAGCTGTAGCCTGGACAGGGCACAATGAGGCTCCATTTAGCATCTGAGTCAGTGGTACTGCACTGATATTGTAAAAGAAGACAACCCCAACGTCCTGCTCCTTTGTGACAGCAAGCAAGGCAAGGAGGGAAGGAAAAGAAGTCTGAAGACCACGGCATAGCTTTAGACCACAAGTGCTATGCAGGTGAGGAACCCAGTAACTCTTACATGCTTTCATTCATGCACCCAACAAGCCTTGGCTTGGGCTGAGGAGAATGCTTGGTGGTCTAAGCACCTGCCTGCCAAGTTCAAGGATCTGGGTTCAATCCCGGGTACCGCATGCCATGCTGGCCCCAGAAGCCGGGTGTGCCATGCCAGCCACCAAAACTGGGCATGGTGGCACATACTTATAATCCCAGCACTAGCCAGGGAGATGGCTCAGTAGAATAAGTGCTTGCCTGGCAAGCACAAGGGCCTGAGTTCAATCCCCGGTTCTGGAAAA